AATGAGTATCACCTGTAATTGTGATGTTGTAAGACAATCAGAATCACCTCTAACTAGGATGTTATAAGACAATTAGAATCACCTGTAATTAGGATGTTTTAAGACAATTAGAATCACCTGTAATTGTGATGTTATAAGACAATTAGAATCACCTGTAATTGTGATGTTATAAGACAATTAGAATCACCTGTAATTAGGATATTTTAAGACAATTAGAATCACCTGTAATTAGGATATTTTAAGACAATTAGTATCACCTGTAATTGTGATGTTTTAGACAATTAGAATAACCTGTAATTAGGATGTTATAAGACAATTGGAATCACCTGTAATTGTGATGTTATAAGACAATTAGAATCACCTGTAATTAGGATGTTATAAGACAATTAGAATCACCTGTAATTAGGATGTTATAAGACAATTCGAATCACCTGTAATTGGGATGTTTTAAGAGAATTAGAATCACCTGTAATTGTGATGTTATAAGACAATTAGAATCACCTGTAAAAGTCCGGCTGCTGTGAATTCTAGACTATAAGGAATCTGTAAACAGACAGCAATACATTGCGATACACCTTATCTTTTTTGTATAATATATATATATTTAGTATGTATTTTTATCTTTTTGTTTGCCTTTAAGTAAATTTGAGATTGCGCTGGTATTTTGTAACAGTACACCACATACATAAGTGTAATGTTTTATGATATCAGCATAATGCTAATCACGATATAATTAGCTGGCGGTAGAAATTGGTTAACAAAAGAGAACTTATCTGAGAGCGCGTCAAGCTGTTCGTTGCTCAGGTATGTTTCCAATGATGATCTCGCACTTATTAGCCTTGACACTCACTCCAGTCTTTGTGTGCAAGGTCGATCCATTTATCTGGTCAAATGACCATCAACCTGATTCAGGACGTTCGTAAATTTACGCGTTGAAGCTTGGAAGGTTTACACTGGATGTGAAACATGTGAAGGAAATATTGGTGGAAATTTACGGATTATTTTACAAACAGGTGAGAAAAACTTCTTAAATATTTTATTTCATAAATCATTGCATGATTTACTGTGTGTAGCTAATGATTATGAAGTATGCTGCCGAGTTTTTTAGATAAACGAAAACAGCGTCTTCAAACTACTCTTGAAATACTTAAAGAAGCTAGTGATGTAAAAGAATCTGGTGGAAATATGATAATAATATATTAATGTGCCAAGTTTCGCTGTCATATATGAAAAAGTAATGATTTAAATATTGAGAATACAGTAACTTGGGTCTCTTCGACTCACACTTTTTTTATGTTTGACTCCATCTGTGTGAGTACTGGTATGTATCGTTGTGTAAACGGAGGGTTTAATCTGGATCTGGGTGTGAAACATTGAAAATAAACCTTGGTGGCAACTTGCGGAATATTTAACAAACGTGTGAGAAAATTTCAAATTTTTTATTTCATAAAAACTGATTGTAATATTATGAAGCATATAGCACTATAAATAAATAAATAAATAAATAAATAAATAGATAAATAAACAGGTAAAAATGGCATACAGTGAAATAATACAGCACAAAGGCATAACACCAATACGATTGAGGAAAAAAACATGAAACTATCTGCACATGCTGCAGCTGCACATTGGGCCGTCCCAGGCGTGTAACACCCTGCGGGAAACAGAGAAGGAATCAGCCTCTCTTATTTCATTAGGCAGACTGTTACACACCCGGGCGGACTCAAACCGAAAATATTTCATTCTATACCTTGTTGACTTTACCTGTGGTATGTTAGCACCAAGTTCACGTCTGAAATTATAGCTAGAGTATTTAAAAGTAACAAGTTCTGTGATGTACTGAGGGCAAAGACCGTTCATAATTAAAAAAAAAACAACACCAACTTCTAAAGCCATACTCCTAAGACATCAAACATGTAGATAGGATTTTTTTCCCCTAAAAGTAACTCTATAGGACTAGTAAAACATTTTCTACAAATCTACCTGCTCTATCTTGTATAATTTCCAGTTATACATGCAAACATGTTTTAAAAGTATTTTGGTGTTCTTGTCAAAGAGTGTTGTTATCTTTGAGAGTAGGGGGAATACGTGTAGGCAGAGGGACAGCTAGTGTCCGATTAATCAGACTAATTGACTGGTAAGAGAGCAGTGTCAGCTGTGTCAATCAGAGAGTGCCCAGTGATGTGAGGTGGATGTTTATTGTTTTAAAGATTAGTAAGGTGATTATTTAGAAACTAACGTGACTCGATTCGTGAGGTTGACAGTTAATTAATTGACAATAAGAGAGAGAGAGAGAGAGAGAGAGAGAGAGAGAGAGAGAGAGAGAGAGAGAGAGAGAGAGAGAGAGAGAGAGAGAGAGAGAGAGATATTATTGAAAGTAAACAGTGTCGTGGGAGCAGAGTATGATGTGAGGTCGTGGAGGAGAAAGGTTGATTGGGTTCTGAGAGAGGAGTTGTGGTAGGGACACTGGAGAGTAAAAATGTGATCAAAATCTGAGAGTCGTGAATGAGGCATAGGTGTTTTGTACATATTAGATGTAAATAACTGTGTATATTTTGGAGATGTAAATAAACTGTAAATAGAAAATGGATCTTAAGTAACCATTACATGACCTGTGGCGAAATAGAAAATATTCCAAATGGTATTTTAATCCCATTTTCTAACCTTTGTGAACATTATGTTTTAATTGCTTAATATAAACTTTGTTTCGCTAAATACTGAGTTCATTACAACACATAGCACAGTAACAAATGAATAAGATCCGGAAACAAGGTGTAAATTCGTTTCCTGACATTATCATTATAATTCAGTTACGGCAGTTATTAGGTTGAAACAAGACAAAGGTTACAACCTGACGGCAGCGTGAATAGTGTATTTTCGAAGTAGTACCTGTTAAACTGAATAAATGGAGGTGAGATTTATAAATAACCTTAGCTTTATGGTTATACTCAATGCTAAACGGCGATTCCAATTTACCTGGGGATAGCATACTGGTGAAAATCTCAGTTATTTTTGACAAGTGATATTAACCTCATATCTATCATCTTCGATGATCACGTTAGATATAGTGTGGATATGTCATATCATTATCAGTAGACGATATATATTGAACTTGACCTGGTAGATAAACAGATAACATATTTCCATTTTCAACCTACCACTAAATCACGTAAAAACGGAAAATTAATTTCATAGGTTACGGGGACGATCTTTTGGTAGTAATACTAAATAATGGATATACACACTTATTTACTAATAAACGCTCAAAGTGTTGTAACTGGTTATTTTTCTTTATTTTGAAAAGTGGACAATTTGCAAAAAACTGAGGTACACAGTCATGAGCGTTAAATTCGTTAGGTCATTTTCATAAGCATAATTCAAACACATATTCAACGAGCTATGTTTTTGAAACACTATATACCCGGATGAACAAAATTCTGAATCGGGGCATTATAACTGTACTATGTAAGGCGTGACCTAATTTCATGAACACTTTATGGAACACCGTTACGTCTTCATTATGACATGAACTGTATACTGAGATAATGAGCGAAACTGCACATTCTTTATTTTGTTCATCTGTTGGAGAGATATTGAACGGAAACTGAATTATTGGATATTTTCTTAGTGCAAGGGGCGTAACTCTGTCAGATATTAAAACCTACCTCTTACTATGCAATAGTTACGATCAACGTGGCATACTTCCTTGTTTAACAGTAGGTTTTATTCCTTCAAAAAGAGAAGACTTTTCACTAGATGTGATAAATATCCTCCTCCTGTCATACATCGTTGTTAAAATCGTTTATGAATTTGTTCTGAAATTCTTGATATCATCCTGTAGATAGTTACCTTAAAGATGTTATCAGGTAGATGACCAGGTAAGTAATGTATCTGCATTAGTTCAGATGTGTAGCAAGTCTACAGGAGCCCTGCGAACTACTACCAGATCAGTCTATACTCCGACATCCAGAAATTAGATTAAGGATCTTTTACAACAGGTATGTTCATATATAATATAGATACGATTTTGCTTGTTATGTGTACATGCACAAGTGATAAAATTGACATCTAATACTTTCAATTCAAAGGGAACGTCCGTCTCTATTGCAAACCTAAAAAACTGCCTACAAACTATGATTCTCTATTACTTAATACTATCGTACTATATTAATCTGAATAGTATTTGACGTACTTTTCAATATGATTAAATCGTCGGAAGAAAATGTTCTGGCATAGGTCTTTATTTAGCAAAGGAGAAGATCCTTGTGTTAATGATGCCACACATGACGGTGTACGTCCTGGGCCCTGGTATAGATATTTATTAAGTAAGGGAGAAGATCCTTGTGTTTATGGTGCCATACATGACTGTGTACCTCTTGGGTCCTGGTTTAGGTCTTTATTAAGTATAGGATTAAACCCTTGTGTTTGTGATGCCACACATGACTGTGTACCTCCTGGGCCCTAGTATAAGTCTTTATCTAGTAGAGGAGAAGATCCTTGTGTTTATGGTGCCACACATGACTGTGTACCTCCTGGGTCCTGGTATAAGTCTTTATCTAGTAGAGGAGAAGATCCTTGTATTTGTGTGCCGCCTGGGTTCTGGAATAGGTCTTTCTTCTGTAATTAACGCACACTTGAGGGAGTGGAAGTAGGGTAACCCTACTTGCCCAGTTATACACCTGGTCTCTAGATTTCTCTACGTCGATTTAAATATAGGTCACATATTTCTGTGCCACTAATAAATTGTGAATATGTATGAATATGCCTATATCCTGTATGTACAGGGCTATTTAATATCGTGCTTGTTGAGAATCGTGTGAGTTAATGAATTCAATGTAGGTGTTTTTGTTATGCCGACAATACTTACAGTGTTTTATTTTCATGAATATGAAGTTTCACCACTGATTATCAAAATTATCTTGTTTCAGAAATATTCAAGAAACGACCCTCCACAGGTTATCTCCCTACAAACTGCACCACATCTAGATATTGGTAATACCATGGCAACGTCTTCTGTACATGAACAAAGTCTAGAAGTCAGACCTAAAGAGTCTCCAGAAATATGTCCGGCGTCCACTGAACCAGTCCTGCGTGACAGTCCCACTGTCATCTCTCAGTTCTCGTGCCGGGAGTACCTCACATCATTCTGTCCTACGCCTGATGGAAATGTCTGGCTCTGTGATTGGAGAACAAGCACAGCAATCCTCATCAACAACAAAAGTAAAGTCTTACAGAAGATAAAACACAAAAGTAACATCATTGAAATCAGTCTGGACCCCACGACAGGTCGTCTGTGGTTCTGTTGTTGGGAGGAGAGAATTATCTACGAAGTATTTACCTCTTCACCGGTTTCAAGGTTTACCACCGATGCTAACCCACACAGTTTATGTGTGACCAGGGAGGGACGGGTAGTGGTAGGTACAAGGAGTAAACAGGGGTACAAGGTAGTGATGTACACAGCAGATGGTCAGGTGTTACATACAGCCACTGTAGAGAGTTCAGGGGCGGGTGCAGTAACGTTTATTACACAATGCCCTGTTACAGATAACATAGCTGTTGTTAATAGTAAACTAATCAGCGGAGATGGGAATGGCGTAATTAACTACAGGCGTCATATCATCGTGTACAACGCGACATTCGAACCTCTGGTCCATTACCGTGGGGAAGGGATACAGGCAAGAGAGGCGGTCACTCCTGACAAGTTTGTTCCATTCAGAATTGTATATGACAGCAAGGGAAATATTGTTATTGCTGATTGGGAAAGGAAAACAATAGAACTAATAAGTGGAGATGGGAAGTACATAAAAACACTCCACACTGAGAAAACAAGACAAGGAGTAGTAGGCATACAGAAGGGTGATATATTGTGGTCCCGTTATCAGTTAGATAAAGATATGTGGGGATTTAAGCTTCTCAAGTATTACAGCGACTGAGGGAAGAAATCTTGATTGGTGATACAGACTATGTAAGCAACATAAAAACGTTACCTGTATAATGTAACATCAAAGCGGTCTTTCATATTATTCAGGTGAACAATGGTCCAACTGATACATTACATCTTGATAAATATAGAAACACCATGAAAAACTGTCATTGTATGTATGTATACCAAAGGTATGTAAAAAAAAATTGAAAACCTTTAGAATTTTCAGTAAACGAGATATATAAACCGTTTTCGGAAAGTGCCAAGGTTCCCGACTGATATTAAAACCAGACTCATAATGACTTAGCTGTTTATTCAGGGTCCCTAAGGTGCTTAAAACAGCATATCAAATGTAAATATATGATATTGCAGAATAATGATTTACCCTATGTGGCAAGATTTCATTTTAGAGCATTGTACTTTTCCAATATAAGAAATAAAACGAATTCAATCATTATCAGAGTGTCGTTATAATCATTTTTTTTTATCAAACTAACTTCAGTAAAACAAAAAGTCTGACATTAAATTTTACTTAGATCGTGACTAGAGAGATTCCTCAATATATGTATGTTAAATGGGAATATGTAAATAATTATATGTCTACTCTGTTTCAACACATATTTAATTACACAAGAATTAATTAATGGAGAGGGTTCCTATAATATAAAGAGTTGGAATCTTTGACACACAAGTTGTTCACTCGTGGTCAGCTTGGTGGCTTTATAGGAAGGAAAATTTAAGTCAAGATTGTCCCATCCTCTCTACTCCAGGTTTTACGATCACTTTCACTCTCTGCACCCATGGAGCATGTCGTGGCAAAATTGAAGTTACAAGCCAAGTAATTTGATTGGTTACAGGAGAAAAAACTGACCAATCACAGAGTGTTACGTTCCTTATGAAGGTTACAAAGGAGAGACACCCTTCAAAGCCATTACTATATACTGTTATGCGACCTTAAAGCCCCAATATACGTAAAAATCACTATAAAAAACAAACTTTATCTTATTTTCCCCGTAATATATGCAACAAAACAAATACTTTCCTTTAATTAAAGAAAATAAAACTGACTGTTTTCAATTCAAATAAAAATTGAAAAATCGGAAAATAAACATTGTGGGACCCACAATAATTCATACATTACCGCTCGTAGCGATGACATTGCGCATGCGCATATTCCGCGTGTGTAAACATGGCAGACACAGTACAGACGTTCACCAGTCGCTTCCTTTTTTTTCCAATCATACATCAGGCCAGTTCTGAATTCTTACGTTATAATTGTGCGTCGTATCGTTTCTAAACTAATTATTCCTTCTAATAATTTCCCAAAAACTGAATGTTTATCACAGGAATACCTCAAGTCTACGACAAGACTTCGCAAACAATGTTTGTAAACAAAAACTTACTGCATGTGCTTCCTCTATAAGTAGAAACCTCAACTCTTGCGAGATCAGGTCATGAACTTTCCGACGTGGTTCGGCAACAATCGTAATTTTGATAGCGGCGTGTTTAAAATGGAGGTGTGTTTACAAATAGCGCGTTTCAACTGCTCATATATCAATACTTTATGCACAAAGTCATGGTAACTATTGTTTGAATAACTTAATTTTAACTACATCTGAGAGAATATCTCAATAATTATGTGTGATTCTACACTAAATATTTAGTGAATGTTACGTATATTGGGGCTTTAAGATTCATTTGATGTACATCAAAAGATCAAGCTAGTCTTATCGTGATATCCAGAAGGTGTGCAACATGGAGCGTTCAATTTTGCCATGCCATGTTTCAGGGGTGCAGAGAACGCGAAAGTGATGAACTGAGATAAAAAGATATAAATATGATTCAATGCCTTTTTCAGTAATATCAATACTTAATACAGTACATGGTTTTATTTAATACTAATTTTAAGGTGCTATTACAGACTCTATCAGCAACAGACCAAAGAAGAAAGGCGATTACAAAATGATGGTGGATTACAGTAACATTTTAAATATCAAAGCAGAAAAGAAACAGAGGAACCTTGCTCATCTTTCGGAACATTTTCTTCGGTTGCTAAAGTTATGCGGCTGCCTAAGGAAGCCAAATACACTCGCTCATCTATGACAAAGTGTTTTAAAAAGTGTAGCCGAATTGACTTTAGTACATTGTTACCATCTTGTGTGTTGTTGGGTATATAATCTGTTTACCATCTCGTCACACTATTTTTGACCATAGTGTACGTATAGTACAGCCGAAAATGTTGGTCGATTCATTACCATCTCGTACACTACGTACGTCAGTGCTACTACGCTCCACACAGGTCATTTGTCTGATGAAGGTGACCGTGTAGATCTCGTACACTACCTACGTCAGTACGCTCCACACTGGTCATTTATTTGATGAAGGTGACCGTGTAGATCTCGTACACCACTATCTACGTCAGTGCTACTACGCTCCACACTGGTCATTTGTCTGATGAAGGTGACCGTGTAGATCTCGTACACCACTATCTACGTCAGTGCTACTACGCTCCACACTGGTCATTTGTCTGATGAAGGTGACCGTGTAGATCTCGTACACTACCTACGTCAGTACGCTCCACACTGGTCATTTGTCTGATGAAGGTGACCGTGTAGATCTCGTACACTACCTACGTCAGTACGCTCCACACTGGTCATTTATTTGATGAAGGTGACCGTGTAGATCTCGTACACCACTATTTACGTCAGTGCTACTACGCTCCACACTGGTCATTTGTCTGATGAAGGTGACCGTGTAGATCTCGTACACCACTATCTACGTCAGTGCTACTACGCTCCACACTGCTCATTTGTCTGATGAAGGTGACCGTGTAGATCTCGCACACTACCTATGTCAGTGCTACTACACTCCACACTGGTCATTTGTCCGATGAAGGTGACCGTAGAGTTTTGAAACGACACACTATAAGTTTCTGCTGGTTGAGTTATAATAATGTTTTTTTCATATCTAGGAACTTCTTACATAGCCAATAACGAAGAATTATGTGTAAGATATTTGAGAAAAAATGTAGTGGTACAATTTCTTATCATTTTATCATTTTAAAATCCGATATGACGAGACAAAAAGTATCAAATCGATAATAAATATCAAGATACTTTCTGTAGATAGAAATAGGGTTGTTAAACACCATGTTTTATAAATACATAGAGTTAGTAAAGACGAAGTCGGTATGATCAATTAATGTTACTATAACGTTGGATGATATCCTAGATTTACACTTTTAAGCTTTGAAGTATGTTAATCTCTCATGTTTTTATATTTGCTTCTGTTCATTTTACGTCGGCACGCTTAGTCTTTGATTTCAAGTTCCCTTGGTTTACTGTCCCATCGAAGACGGATCAAGTACATTCATAATGTAAATTTATCAGTTTGGTAATCACAATCACCTGTGTGTCTAATTCAATCTTTATATTGAAAAATGCAATTCATTTGTCTAATGTTCTATCTTTATATTGAAAAATGCATTTCACCTGTGTGTCTAATTTTCAATGTTTGAATAGAAAGATATTATTCATTTGTATGTCTTGTAAACAATCTTTGGACGAAACAAACTTCTGCATCGGAGAATGAGAGGATAAGGAGAATAGGGCAATGTATTACGGAAGAGTAAGCGTCTTCTGCTTCATCGACGACACCCGTCATGTTAATCTTGGTGAATCCAGGTAAGTGATGTTACGTTCTCAAATGAGAACAAGATATACAACAACGGAACCAACAGGTGAAACAGTCGTCTCCGGTCACAATTTAATTTACTGTTCAGTATCAAGAATATTCTTGTTAAAGAGATTTTAATGAACTGGTTTTATAGGCCATACCATCTTGTTCAGTAACAAGACAAGTCACAAATCACATTAGAACAAAATAAAAAATAACGTCATTGAAACAGAGTCAACCTTTTCTGATCTGATTTATAACACTTAGTAGCAATAGGTTGTTAGAAAAATAGTAAAACCCGATTTGATTTATGAAAGAGGTTATCCAATGGAAGTTTCAAACTACCTTGTACACGTCACATGTCATTTCTCCTTGCCGCGTCGCTATTGCCGACAAAAAAGAAAGGCAAGAAATGGATCGTAAGTATTCTTTTTTAGCTAAAATGTTGCACGTCTTATAGTGTCTCCGTTATTATGATCACGAGTCATGTCTATGTCGCTTTCTTACTTGTCTCTGTTGATAAAAATCCATACAGTGTTTCTGTTGTTAAGCCTTTATATTGTGACTATGTTGTTAAGCGTTAATATCATGTCATTGTTGTTAATCTTAAATTCTGTGTCTTTGTTGTTTAGCTTTATTACTGTGTTTCTGTTATTAAGCTTTAATACTGTGTCTCTGTTGTTTAGCTTTATTACTGTGTTTCTGTTATTAAGCTTTAATACTGTGTCTCTGTTGTGAGGTTTTAATACTGAGTCACTGTTGTTAAGCTTTAATACTGTGTCTCTGTTGTGAAGCTTTAATACTGAGTCACTGTTGTTAAGCTTTAATACTGTGTCTCTGTTGTGAAGTTTTAATACTGTGTCACTGTTGTTAAGCTTTAATACGGTGTCACTGTTGTTAAGATTAAATACTGTGTCTCTGTTGTGAAGCTTTAATAGTGTGTCACTGTTGTTAAGCTTTAATACTCTGTCTCTGTTGTTAAGCTTTATCACTCTGTCTCTGTTGTTAAGCTTTATCACTCTGTCTCTGTTGTTAAGCTTTATCACTCTGTCTCTGTTGTTAAGCTTTATCACTCTGTCTTTGTTGTTAAGCTTAAATTCTTTGTCTCTGTTGTTAAGCTTAAATACTGTGTCTCTGTTACTACATTACATGTAGATGATTTTTAGAAAAATGAAAATGTACTTTGTAATGTTCGATTAATTTAACAGGTTGAAGGAGACGATCTGTCATTAGTAGCAAAACGTAACACATAACACATATACATTCATTTATTTACTAATTAAACACTCACATCTATTGTCGCTTGTCCTGTAGATCAATGTGTTAATGATGTAATCAGGTAGATAAACAGGTAAGTTATATATATATATACATTAGTTCAAAGGTGTTTCTTCCGTATTGCAGATTTATAGAAGCCCTGCCAACTACTACCAGATAAGCATATATACAGATTGAGGACTTACAACAGGTATGTTCATTTATGATATTGTGAGAAATGGCATTGATACTATTTTTTAGGCTGGCGTCGTGCAATGAGCTCATGTTATTTAGTAAACAGATAAATAGGACAAGGAAACTAAAATGCCTACTGTATTCAGCAGTATACATGATAATCAATAAGTGTACAAGTATGTATAAGAACAATGTCTACAATGTTACGTAAGTACTACATCGTAAAACATACCTGTGCTCGAAATCTCTTGTACAAAAGACATACAAGTGAATAACACCTTTTAATAATTTTGATTTGGATACAGGAGAGTCAAACAATGAATTAAACTGCGTAATACAGTTGTTCCGTCCTAGTGTATAGCCTTCCCCAAGCGAAGACACCTCGCCAAGGTTATACCCGGAGCGGCCGCACAGAGGTGATGAGGATAAAAATAGATCACCCCAATTTGACAAGTGCATGCACTAACGTAAACAACACAAATAAAGGGAATAGAATGTCATTCATTCATAGATACAAAAGTACAAACACAATTTCACTGTAATTGAAAACATTAAATGAAATTTTGGTAATACAATTACAGTCTCATAATTTGACGCCGACACCACGCATCTATTGAAATATGAACTACCTCGTGAAACTTTGTTCTAAATATACACCAGTCTTTAAGTTGGGTACCATCAATTTTAGTAAGAAAATTTTAGTCAAGTTTTTTTCTTTCTTTTCCAAGCCTACCATCATTCAAATCGCTCTGTGCCCGTGGTCCGTCCGTCAGTCGCTATTTCGTGAGTGCCAGATGGATCTTTCTCAGATTGCACATGTAGGATTCTCCTTTGATTTTGGGCCTGACCCAAAGAACAAAATGGCGAAAAGGCAGCCATCTTGGATTCTGACTTCGAAAATTTGTTATCACTAAAGTTGTTATAACTTGTGCCTAATCCCGGTTGTTTGATGACAATAAAAATATGTTTAGATCGACATCGAAAGAAGTACTGAATAGATATCTCTAAAATTTCATACGTTTGTTCCCTTTAGTCTCTCCTTGTGCTCGTTTGATTTTGGTACTGATCAGAAGAAACAAAATGGCTTCCAGGGGGGCCAGTTTGGATTTAGCAGGTAAAGAATAGCATCGCTATTTCTGCAAAAGAATATTCAAATGTCTTATCATTAAGAGTAAAAACAGAGAAAACAAGAGGAAAAAGATCCAACTTTCAAAAAGCATATAAAGATCAAACAATGATGAGCGCCAAGATCCCTCTTGGATCTCTTGCTAAAGACAATTCTTCGTATTCCTTGCAGTTTGTATCGCCAAATGATACATTCAGCTTAACGAACACCGGGCTTACACTGAAGGTCCCCGTAAGTTTGCGTTGCGACCTAAAACAACGTTTTCACGTGTGTTACTGGTAAATCAAACACGCATTCATATACAATTTGATATTTTTTTTATCTTCGGTATTACCGGGTCAAAGTATTTTGTAGGATTAGAACTCTGTAGCTGTGTACTTCCTGAATCCCAGTATTGGGCTGTATTCTAGAGTGGAGGTAAAATCTTGTAGCTGGGATACATTACATGTTTATACGGATTTTATAGGAGAGTAGAGCTCCCTAGGTAGAGTGCTATATATCTGTCAAATTCGCGAGCTCGGTACTGGACTGTCGTATGTAGGGAGAGTTGTCTCCCGTAACTTTTATCTATGCATGTATTTGGAACTCCTAGATATCGGTATTTGTCTGCATTTTATAGGATGAGTAGAAATAGAAACCCGTTAGTGTGGTACCCTACATATATTCTTGTCTTTTTCAGATAAAGGTTATTGTTTTGTTGTATACATATTAAGACAACCAACTGTAGCATCACCAATACAGAGTAAATATGTATGAATATTTGTATATATTGTACCAATGCGGAGATATATGTTCTTCAATCTTCGCCTGGTGAAATAACTTCGACGTTCTGGATATTGTAACCGCTATATATAAACAGTACGAGTGATGCAGTTTTGTTTACTTTTTATCTAATCTTATACAACTATTGATGATTGATATTTTATTGTTACACAGAGAGAACCTCCAGGAGGCACTTGCCTGGAATCTACATCACTGCTGCGCTTCGGTAGTACCATGGCAACATCCGCTGACCTCTCCAATCTAAAAGGTCAACTTCATGTCAGAGCTAAAGGTCATGACAAGTGTCCCAGCCACAGGAAAAACCAAGTGGTATTTTTATGTCAGGACTGTGACACCCTGATTTGTGCTACCTGTTCCATTACAACACATAGAAATCATTTTAGCAGTTTCGCCGAAATTTCGGAGACTACTCAACAATACAAAAATAGACTTCAGGAATTTGTTAACGAAAATGAGGACAAACGAATCCCGAAACTTAATGTAGAAACGAAATCAACCAAGGAACGTCTTTCAACTTTAAAATCTAAATACAAAAACATTCGTGATAAGATGAAATTAGAACGAGATCAATGTAAAGATATATTAGATAGAATAACAGAAGATTACCTAACATTATGTGACAAGATGGAGGACGCAGAAACAGAGTTACTTACGTCACACATCACATACCTTGACGAAAGGATAGACACTTTGGTGAAACTTTCATCAGAGTGTAAGCAGACCCTCCAGACAGGAACTGATGTACTAGTGTATGACTCAGCAACAGAAGTCCGGGACATGGACATCAACATCCCACGGATACCTGACACAGGTATGATAGAGTTTACTTCTAGTAAGGACAAGCTAAGTCACCTAAAGCAGGCCATGGGGGTGATGAGGACACCTACTGATCATCACCGGGTAGTATCAGCAACTGGCGGTCACTATAACCATGGTACAATAGTGAATCAAAACCAGTCTACAGAGATGGGTCAAGGGTCCACTGCAGCAGTCCAATGTTTTAAACTGTGTGAAAGTCCAACTACTAAATACAAGTTCTCATATAAGGACAGCATCTCATCAATCTGTCCTACATCTGATGGACGTGCCTGGTTGTGTGATTGGAATACCAACACAATTAACCTCATCAACAACAAAGGTAAAGTCTTACAGAAGATACAACACAACAGTAACATTACAGACATCAGTCTAGACCCCAACACAGGTCATATGTGGTTCTGTTGTAGAGAGGAGAGCACTATATATGAACTATCTACATCATCTACACCAGTCAGAAGGTTTACTACAGAGTGTGATCCACACAGCCTGTGTGTGACCATGGAGGGACGGGTAGTGGTGGGTACATGGGGTAGACAGGGGTACAAGGTAGTGACATACGAAACAGATGGTCAGGTGGTACATACAGTCACTGTGGAGAGGTCAGGGGCGGGTGTTGTACAATCCATCACACAGTGTCTTGTTTCAGGTAACATAGCTGTAGTGAGTCGTAAACTCATCAGTGGAAACCATCGTGATCCAGACAACTACAGACGTCACGTCATTGTGTATAATCCAAAGCTCCAGCCCCTGGTCCACTACCGGAGGGAGGGGATACAGGCACGGGAGGCGGTCACACCTGACAAGTTCTGTCCGATCACAGCGATATACGACAGTAAGGGTAATATTGTTATTCCTGACTGGAAACGGAAAACAATAGATCTGATTACTGGAGAAGGGAAGTACATAAAAACACTCCACACAAACAAAGGACCACAGGGAGTAGTAGGTATACAGAGGGATGATGTGTTGTGGTCCCACTTAGTGTTAGATACTGGAGAGTTGGGATTCAAACTCCTCAAGTACTATAGTGACTGATTGATTAAATATAGGGTGATATAAAACAACAGAAAAGGCATAAATTGTGCTTGACATTATCATGGTCTGCTAGAGACATTAAGTTGAAACTTTTACTACAAGTGAGATATTTTGATTTGACAAACATTAATAATTTCATATAAAATTACCATCTGTGATAGATATTGAATTAAAGATGCACATTTTACTTTTTCAGTTCATGAAAAAAAATCCATCTAATTGTCATTTGGGCGTCCTGATTATTTTTCCTAACTTTGATAAAACCTGGAATTAAATTTTCAACTTTGCTTTTACAAATAGATAATCATTATAATTTTTTTAATCAATTATGAATAAAGGGCCGGTTTCCAAAACGGCCCCTTCTCTGAATCAAATTTCCTGTTGGTGGTGCATTGCCCATGCCGTTGTGGTCACAAATCTATAAAGTATAAAGATTTAGGTCACTTGGTTTGTTTTTATGGCTCCTCAAAGTTGTACCTTTCAGAAGCTGTTCAAGTGTTGATAAAATGTGCATGTTATGTAAAATATTAATGAAAATCTAATCAAATGATAGTCACCGTAAAGAATACATTCATGGCATGATTGTGACAAAAAAATCATGTTTCCATCGCGCCATTTGGCTGTTTTATTGAAGAAACAATCTCAAAAATGCCATTTTCGATAACATTTTAGACACAAAAACTGTGTTTTTTAGAGAATACACCCTTTTATGGGCGTTGGATGCAAACCAATTTTTATCCTATTAAATAGTACGTAATATGCTATTGATGAGAGGAAAAATCATCAAAATGTAAGTGGTGGAACATTTTCAAATGTTGGGTTGAATTAGCCTATGGTTGAATTGCCGATTTTCGACTTTCTTTAGATAATTAACAAAAAAAAACGAGAGTATTTGCTCGGTATGTAGAGAATATGTACACAGATATGAAAAAAAGTGAGAGAAACACTTTTTCATAAAAAAAATCCAAGATGGCTACTTCACAAGTCCCCGTGGTTGAAGACATTGGCTGACAAATAGACAGAACAACAAACAAAACGTGTTCCTTATGATTTTGGTTGGTTTTCGAATTTACGGGGGTGTTCATAGCTACGGGCGATTGCATAATACCTATATTTATAAGTTTGGTTAGTCACATGGTAACGGGGATCTTATCAGCCCCAAACATACTTTCGACATATGCACTCCGTTGCCGCATGGAAAACTATTTCAAGTTTTGTCGGAATTTCTTTACCTGTGGTTGTAATGGTCGAGGGTTTTCCAGCGTCCTGTAATACCCAAGGTAGTACAAGATACTGGAGATGTGCGCACACATTTCCATCGTTCTCTCTCCAACTGGGCACTGGCAGTAGTAGTCCTTTATTGGGGCCTCAACATCGGGTGAAACGGTGAACCGTATCCAAACGTTATATTTCGTTTGGCTTTTGTGTCGAGAATGTATTTGACATCGGAGAAGGTCTGGGGAGTGCTGGTAAAGCCACACCTCATAGTCTCCGTCATCACTTAAATGTTCGGCGATGTAACCAGGAGCCAGAGATATCTGATACGTTCCACACGGAATGGTTCTCAAGTAATTAAGATCGAGACGGGGAAACAGTGCGGAAGATGCATCCTTCTTGACAAACTCGGACCTTGCCCGTCTAAATAGATCCGGGTCTATCTTGACTCTCTGAGCTAAACCATTCGGTGTTGTCAAACGGTCCTTCATACGTTCAGACATTAGCCTATCTTTGGCATCTCTCTCTGGAGATCTCTGGTAGATCGGTCCTCTAATACCATTCAGACAGGCTGTGACGGTTCGAAGCAAAGCCTCAATGACATTGATAAAGCTGTTAGACACCAATTGCGTTCGGAAGAACGTCCAGTGTTTCAGACGACCATGATAGGATTCCACAATCCACCTCGATTTGGTGATAGTTCTGTCAAGATTTGCTTGGACGTCAGAATGTTGACTTTGACCGGGTTTCAGGTATGACGGCATGCTAGCATTGAGGCCAGAGGCTTCGAGAACTGGTAGGACATCTCTAAAACCTCGGTCAACGACAACGTTGTCGTCTGGCTGTAGCCAAGTAACTAGCTTGTCCATGACTTTTTTTGTAATTGTAGCATCATTTTCGCTGCCAGTGAATGGTCCTACGGTGTCCAGTATGTAGCCATCTGGTAAGGCGATGCTCATGAATTTGACATAGTTTCTCTTCTTCTGGCCACAGTAGGACATCCTCTGGAGCTTGTGGTCGGAGCTTTTCTGGATATAAATATAGGTGCCATCTAATATGGCAGTGGCTTTATCTCCAAGCCCGAGCAATTGTTCTTTTGTCAAGTGATCCGGACCTAGAAATTGTGGGACTATCGATGTGTCTAATGCCTGTACTATGGAGTGGAAAGTTTTGGACACATTTGACTTGGAAATTCCAAAAAGAGAAGAACACTGACTCCAGGAAATGTCGGTTTTCAGTTTTACCCAGAACAGTAATAGAGCATCGTGTGAAGTCTTGGTATATATACCAGATGAAAGATATGGGGAACAGTGCGAGTGCATTCCAAGGAACTGATCTTTGGACCAACCTGTCCAGGCCATGCATGCCGAGTCATCAAGAGAAGAAAAGGTTATTGTAAACGCAGACTAGTTCTGTGAAAGGACGTGCGACACCTCTAGGTCATTAATGATTTCGGACGATTTTGATAGTAACTGAGATTCCAAGGAACCTCTACCATCAAGGACAACCTCTGTAGACGATCTAAGTCGTTACCAATAAGGTGAATGGAGCAGACGCGAGATGAGGTCGGACACCACAGTTTGTGTAAATAGAACAGGTGATGTCTTGCACGTTTTGGTGAGACTGATGATTTTGTTCCATTTTTTGGAAAGGTAACAAGACAGAGACAGCATTTTTTGTGTAAAGATGATCCATTCAAAAGATCATGAAGGGTCAGCAACGGCAGGATATGGGACGGGGAATCGTCTTCTTCCTCTTTTTCCTGGTTCTGCTCGGGTTCAGGTTCAGGCTGATTTTTGCTCCGAAGATACTTCATGTAGCACTTCTGGCAAATAAATGGTTGTTCCTTTGCTGACATCAATTCTTGTTGCACCAGCGTATCTAGGAGCCATTTATATTGTGGACTATTTACATTGCGTGCACTTCTGTTCGTATTGCCACTACGTTTCTTGAAGTATATTTGACACTCTTCTCCAACACATTTACCCTCCATCTTGAAACAATAACGATTGGTTTATGAAGGGATAAATAACGAACAACTAATTACACAAAATAACAAGACAATATAATAAATCACATTCAATACCTCCAAGAAGCGCAAAATTGATTGATTACTTAGAACAAAAAAAGTATTTCATATGGATAATCTATCTATTCGATGTGGCGTGGTCGGCAGGCACAAAGAAAGGGAGACAAGTCAGGATCCCGACCCTGACAGAGCCACAACGCTTTGGAGATGGGACAATAAAACAAGGAAATTGAGACAAGAATAGCTAGCGTCGAGTGAATGATTTCGTAAACGTATAGACAAAGACAAGACAGTGTAAATCTTTATATCGATACTATTCATTTAGTCGTTACACATCATAAAACTGTCATGAAAATACCCGCTCTGATATTCAATATAAAAGTTTGTATATAATAAGCTATATAATAGGGTTTCAGACAAGGTTGTAAATCTTTATTTCAATTTACAACCACATTCATTCGATTTAGTCGTTACCACATGGAAAGCTGATTTTTGATACACATATGAAACAATAAAGCTCTGATTTTCAATATAAAATTTGCATCCAAAGCTATATAACAGGAGAAAATTGCAAATTTATGGCATTTTTCTTCATAATTGTGTCTCTGCAATTGCATTTTCATCCGAGAATATTTTTTTTATGTGTTATGAATAAACACGATGTTTTGGAAATATTTATCAAAAGAAATTTATACTATGTTGCGAATTATAATTTCGAGATAATCTTCTATTATTTACGAACTTATGCCTTTGATGCTGAAATTGACAACTTTACAAAAATACATTTTCACTGAAATTATGAAATCTGGGTGTCGGAAAGGTGTAAAATTATTTTTATGAAAAAAACAGCAGTTTTTCTAGATAAGAAATTATTGTGGCAGGCTGCAAGAGAATTAACATTACTGGAAACAGGCCCTTTTGAATTGATGCTTTTCACTAGAATCTCAAAAGAGGATGGTCTTGTCACATAATCAGACTTTTATTCAATGAAAACACCTTTCTAATATTTTGCATAAATGTACCCTTGAGCGTTTTCCATTGCATGTACTAGTCAGAAATAAATTGGTAATATGTATTTGACCTTAATCTATGTAATGAATTAAAACACACCAAGAAAATACCAACATGGCAACATAATCATAATACAAACTCAAATTCTACATAGCACTAGGAAAAAAATGAACAAAAGAAAGATTTACATGGAGACTCATGAATAACTACAATGAGAATCAGACCACATGTTCTGGAAGAGAGAGCGTCTTCTGCTTCATCGACGACAACCGTCATGTTAATCTTGGTGAATCCAGGTAAGTGATGTTACGTTCTCAAATGAGAACAAGATATACAACAACGGAACCAACAGGTGAAACAGTCGTCTCCGGTCATAATTTAATTTACTGTTCAGTATCAAGAATATTCTTGTTAAAGAGATTTTAATGATCCGGTAATATAGGCCTTACCATTTTGTTCAGTAACAAGACAAGTCACAAATCACATTGGAACAAAATAAAAAATAACGTCATTGAAACAGAGTCAACCTTTTCTGATCTGATTTATAACACTTAGTAGCAATAGGTTGTTAGAAAAATATTAAAACCCGATTTTATTTATGAAAGAGGTTATCCAATGGTAGTTTCAAACTACCTTGTACACGTCACATGTCATTTCTCCTTGCCGCGTCGCTATTACCGACAAAATAGTGTGAAATTTATTGACAACTTCTTACAAACATGTAAATCTTTGTAACAGAAAGGCAAGAAATGGATCGTAAGTATTTGTTTTTAGCTAAAAGTTGCACGTCTCTGTATATTTAAACCGTAGTGTCTATGTTGTTAAGTTATAGTGTCTCCGTTATTATGATCACGAGTCATTTCTATGTCGCTTTCTTACTTGTCTCTGTTGATAAAAATCCATACCGTGTTTCTGTTGTTAAGCCTTTATATTGTGACTATGTTGTTAAGCGTTAATATCATGTCATTGTTGTTAATCTTAAATTCTGTGTCTTTGTTGTTAAGCTTTAACACCGTGTCTCTGTTGTTTGGCTTTATTACTGTGTTTCTGATATTAAGCTTTAATACTGTGTCACTGTTGTTAAGCTTTAATACTGTGTCTCTGTTGTGAAGTTTTAATACTGTGTCACTGTTGTTAAGCTTTAATACTGTGTCACTGTTGTTAAGCTTTAATACTGTGTCTCTGTTGTGAAGTTTTAATACTGTGTCACTGTTGTTAAGCTTTAATACTGTGTCATTGTTGTTAAGCTTATCCACTCTGTCTCTATTGTTAAGCTTAAATACTGTGTCTCTGTTTTGAAGTTTTAATAGTGTGTCACTGTTGTTAAGCTTTAATACTCTGTCTCTGTTGTTAAGCTTTATCACTCTGTCTCTGTTGTTAAGCTTTATCACTCTGTCTTTGTTGTTAAGATTTATCACTCTGTCTTTGTTGTTAAGCTTTATCACTCTGTCTTTGTTGTTAAGCTTTATCACTCTGTCTGTGTTGTGAAGTTTTAATACTGTGTCACTGTTGTTAAGCTTTAATACTGTGTCATTGTTGTTAAGCTTTAATACTCTGTCTCTGTTGTTAAGATTTATCACTCTGTCTTTGTTGTTAAGCTTTATCACTCTGTCTTTGTTGTTAAGCTTTATCACTCTGTCTCTGTTGTTAAGCTTAAATTCTTTGTCTCTGTTGATAAGCTTAAATACTGTGTCTCTGTTACTACATTACATGTAGATGATTTTTTGAAAAATGAAAATGTACTTTGTAATATTCGATTGATTTAACAGGTTGAAGGAGACGATCTGTCATTAGTAGCAAAACGTAACACATAACGCATATCAACACATTTATTTACTAATTAAACACTCACATCTATAGTCGCTTGTCCTGTAGATTGATACGTTAATGACGTAATCAGGTTGATAAACAGGTAAGTTATATATATATATACATTAGTTCAGAGGTGTTCCTTCCGTATTGCAGATTTACAGAAGCCCTGCCAACTACTACCAGATAAGCATATATACAGATTGAGGACTTACAACAGGTATGCTCATTTATGATATTGTGAGAAATGGTAATGATAATATATTGTTTGAGGCATGCGTCGTGCAGTGAGCTCATGCCATTTAGTAAGCAGATAAATAGGACAAGAAAACTAAAATATCGACTTTATTCAGCAGTATAGATGATCATTAACAAGTGTACATGTATGTATAAGAACAATGTCTACAATGTTACGTAAGTACTACATCGTAAAACATACCTGTGATCGAACTCTTTTGTACAAAAGACACACAAGTGAATAACACCTTTTAATAATTTTGATTTGGATACAGTATGATCAAACAATGAATTAAACTGCGTCATACAGTTGTTCCGTCCTAATGTATTACATTTCCAAAGCGAAGACATCTCGCCAACGTTATACCCGGAGCGGCCGCACAGAGGTGATGAGGATAAAAATAGATCGCCCCAATTTGACAAGTGTATGCACTAACGTAAACAACACAAATAAAGGGAATAGAATGTCATTCGCTCATAGATACAAAAGTACAAATACAATTTCACTGTAATTGAAAACATTAATGAAATTTTGGTAATACAATTACAGTCCCACAATTTGACGCCGACACCACCGATACGCATCTATTGAAAATATGAACTACCTCGTGAAACTTTGTTCTAAATATACACCAGTCTTTAAGTTGGGTACCATCAATTTTAGTAAGAAAATTTTAGTCAAGCTTTATTTCTTTTTCAAGCCTACCATCATTCAAATCGCTCTGCGCCCGTGGTCCATCCGTCCGTCCGGCATTTTTGTTATCGCTATTTTTTGAGTGCCAGAAGGATCTTTCTCAGATTGCACATGTAGATTCCCCTTTGATTTTGGGCCTGATCCAAAGAACAAAATGGCAAAAAGGCAGCCATCTTGGATTTTGACTTCGAAAATTTGTTATCACTAAATCTTTTGAACTGCTCTATAGATCTTTCTCAAATTTCTTGTATAGGTTCCTTTACGTCCTCACTTGTGCCTGTTTGAGTTTGTGACTGATAAGTAAAAAGCAAAAAGGCTGACAGATAGCCATCTTGGATAATGCCATGTAAAAATTGTTATTGCTATTTCTTAAGAAGTACTTTTTCGGGAGAAGGCGTTGTTACAACTTGTACCTAATCCCGGTTGTTTTATGACAATAAAAATATATTTAAACCGAAATCGAAAGAAGTACTGAATAGATATCTCTCAAATTTCATACGTATGTTTCGTTTGGTCTGCCTTTGTGCTCGTTTGATTTTGGAACTGATCAGAAGAAACAAAATGGCTTCCAGGGGCCAGTTTGGATTTGGCAGGTAAAGAATAGCATCGCTATTTCTGCAAAAGAATATTCAAATGTCTTATCATTAAGAGTAAAAACAGAGAAAACAAGAGGAAAAAGATCCAACTTTCAAAAAGCATATAAAGATCAAACAATGATGAGCGCCAAGATCCCTCTTGGATCTCTTGCTAAAGATCATTCTTTGTATTCCTTGCAGTTTTGTACCGCCAAATGATACATTCAGCTTAACGAAAACAGGGCTTAAACTGAAGGTCCCCGTAAGTTTGCTTTGCGACCTAAAACAACGTTTTTACGTGTGTTACTGGTAAATAAAACACGTATTCATATACAATTTAACATTTTTCTTATCTTCGGTATTACTGGGTCAAAGTATTTTGTATGATTAGAACTCTAGCTGTGTACTTCCTGAATCCCAGTATTGGGCTGTATTCTAGAGTGGAGGTAAAATCTTGTAGCTGGGATACATTACATGTTTATATGGATTTTGTAGGAGAGTAGAGCTTCCTAGGTAAGGTGCTATATATCTGTCAAATTCGCGAGCTCGGTACTGGACTGTCGTATGTAGGGAGAGTTGTCTCCCGTAACTTTTATCTATGCATGTACTTGGAACTCCTAGATATCGGTATTTGTCTGCATTTTATAGGATGAGCGGAAGAAGAAACCCGTTAGTGTGGTACCCTACATTTATACTTGTCTTTTTTCAGATAAAGGTAATTTTTATTGTATGCAGGATAAGACGATTGTAGAAGCACCAATTACAGAGTAAATATGTATGAATATGCGTATATATTGTACCAATGCCGAGATACATGTTTTTCAATATTCGCCTGGTGAAATAAATTCGATATCCTGGATAATTTAAATGCCATATAAACAGTACGAGTGATGTAGTTTTTTTCCACTTTTTATCTAATCTTATACAATTATTAATGATTAATATTTCCTTATTACACAGAGAGAACCTCCAGGAGGCACTTACCTGGAATCTAAATCAGTGCTGCGCTTTGGTAGTACCATGACAACATCTGCTGACCTCTCCAATCTAAAAGGTCAACTTCATGTCAGAGCTAAAGGTCATGACAAGTGTCCCAGCCACAGGAAAAACCAAGTGGTATTTTTATGTCAGGACTGTGACACCCTGATTTGTACTACCTGTTCTACTACAACACATAAAACTCATAATGACAGTTTCGTCGAAATTTCAGAAACTACTCAACAGAACAAAAGTAAAGTTCGAGACTTTGTTTCTGAAAATGAGGACACAAGAATTCCGAAACTTCATGTGGAAAAGAAATCAGCCGAGGAACGTCTTTCAACTTTAAAATCTAAATACAAAAACATTCGTGATAAAATGAAATTAGAACGAGATCAATGTAAAGATTTATTAGATAGAATAACAGAAGATTACCTAACATCATGTGACAAGATGGAGGACGCAGAAACAGAGTTACATACGTCACACATCACAGACCTTGACGAGAGGATAGACACTTTCGCAAAACTTTCATCAGAGTGTAAGCAGACCCTCCAGACAGGAACTGATGTACTAGTGTATGACTCGGCAACAGAAGTTCAGGACATGGACATCAACATCCCACGGATACCCGACACAGGTGTGATCGAGTTTACTCCAAGTAAGGACAAGCTAGGTCACCTGAAGCAGGCCATGGGGGTGATAGAGACATCTACTGACCATTTCCGGGCAGTATCAGCAACTGGTGGTCACTATAAACGAGGTCCAGTAGTGAAACAACACCAGTCTACAGAGTTGGGCCAAACGTCCACTGCGGCTCTACAGTACTTTAAACGGTGTAATAATCCAACGATTATATCAAAGTTCTCATACAGGGATAAGATCTCATCAGTCTGTCCTATAACGGAGGGACGTGCCTGGCTGTGTGATTTTGACACCAAAACATTAAACCTCATCAACAACAAAGGTAAAGTCCTACAGCAGATACAACACAACAGTAACATCAGAGACGTCAGTCTAGATCCCAGCAGTGGTCGTCTGTGGTTCTGTTGTAGAGAGGAGAGGACTATCTATGAAGTATCTACATCATCTACGCCTGTCAGAAGATTTACTACAGAGTATTACCCACACAGCCTGTGTGTGACCAGGGAGGGACGGGTTGTGGTGGGTACAGGGGGAAGACAGGGGTACAAGGTAGTGATGCACACAGCAGATGGTCAGGTGTTACACACAGTCACTATAGATAGGTCAGGTGCGGGTTGGGTACGATCCACTACACAGTGTTCTGTTACAGGTAACATATGTGTAGTAAGCAATAAGCTAATCAGCGGAGATGACCACGACATAGACACCTTCAGTCGTCACGTAATTGTTTATAACCAAACACTCAAGCCTCTGGTCCACTACCGTGGGGAGGGGATACAGGCACAGGAGGCGGTCACACCTGAAAAGTTTGATCCGATAAAAGCTGTTTATGACAGTAAGGGTAATATTGTTATTCCTGACTGGAAAACGAAAACAATAGAACTAATAACTGGAGATGGGAAGTACATAAAAACACTCCACACAAACAAAGGACGACAAGGAGTAGTAGGTATACAGAGGGATGATGTGTTGTGGTCACGCGTAGTGTTAGATACTGGAGAGTGGGGACTCAAACTCCTCAAGTATGATAGTGACTGAGGGAGTAAATCTTGGGTGATGAGACAGGGATATAAAATAAGAAGAAGTATAAATTGTACTCGACATTATTATGGTCTGTAAGAGACGTCAAGTAGAAATTGTTAGTACTGGGGACATGTTTTTATTCGACAAAAATTCTTCATTTCATATGAAAGAAACATTATGTGGTTAGATTTTAAATTTGAGATGTACTCTGTACTTTTTCAGGTCATCAAATAAAAAACATCTAATTGTCATTTGACTGTCCTGTTCATTTTTCTTATAAACTAACTTTGATAAAACATGAAGCTAAATTTTCAACATTGCTATTATACAGAGATCATTTTTTTTTACTAAATTGTGAATCACTTGATATTTTTCACCACAATCACAAAAAGATTGTCTTCTTGTCACATTATCAGCCTTTTATCCATTGAACACGCCAATCAAATTTTTTTATATTCATGTACGTTAGAGCGTTGTCAATTGATATGTACTATGACCTTAATTTATGTAATGAATTAAAACACACAAGAAAATACCAACATGGCAACATAATCATAATACAAACTCAAATTCCATAGAATTAGTTACAAAATATGAACAAAAGAAAGATTTACATTTAGTCTCATGAAAAACTACATGGAGAGTAAGATCAGATGTTCCGGAGGAGAAAGCGTCTTCTGGTTCATCGATGACACCCGCCATGTAAATCTCGGTCAATTCAAGTAATCAATGTCACGTTTCCAAATAAGAACAAAGTACACAACAACGGAATAAACAGACAAACTGAAGAGCATCAGACAAGTCCAGCATCATATTATCCGAAGAAATAGAGAAAAGAATCTATTCAATCCCTGTGTTATGAGTTTGCTGTCAGTTGGCGATATCTTGCACAGAAATCGTGATAATATGAAGAGGCTATTAAATATCGAATCAACTGGGACATATAAATACCATAGGTTAAAGGTGCAGGGATATTGCTAACCAAAATGGAAAATTCACGATGAGGAAATTGAAATCATCATGTTTATGATACAGATTGGTTGAAAGCTGCCCACGTTTGTTTCGTTGTAGGAAAAGATCGAGATAAGCAGCTGATGTAGAAGAATCCGTCGGGTCGTTGATTTCCAGTTCTTGTGGATATATACGATGGACGTGGTCAATAAATTTCTTCTTATTTAAAGACAAGACGTCATCATTTTATCTGAAGGTGAACTTAAACGAATTTCTAAAGTCTTTATTGACCTGCCTCCAATAAAGCCAGTTTCGTATGAAAACAAAAACAAGTCATCCAACAGAGGGGAGCGGTTAGTTGCCATAGGTATGAAACAAATCTAGCTCATTTTGTATACAGGAAATCCTGTTTCGATACCCTTGTTTTTTTTTCTAGAAATTTTCAAGATGATATCTGTGGCAGCCATCTTGAATGTGGATGAAGTACGAATTTTCTGGAGCACCGACGAGTAATTCTGTGGATTTGGTGACCGTCCTAATCCAGTCGGCAAAGAACTGACTCTTTACTGTACACACATTGCGTTCTACTTATCTAAAATGTTCTGTCACATCCCGTGCTTTAGTTGTCGTTCTCCTGGATCACTCCTTGTCCTTCTACGATGCCGTACTCTACCTGCGTTGCCGACAAGATTATTAAACCACAGTCGCGATCTTAGTGTATGGCTTTGGTAAAATATGAATATTTTACGAATTATGCATCAAATAAACATTATAATTATCAATAAAACAATACCCGTCGGTGTTGGGAGGGAAGGATGAAACTAGATGAATGGAAGGGGTGTGGAGAAGGGGTAGTATAGACATATTAGGTGTCATGGTTATCGATGATTAAATGTTAAATCGTTTAGAACTAGAAATAAATGATTGTACATACCTACAAATGACAATGTTTTTATCAGTATCGAGATTTTCGTCCCCAAATAGAAGGTGTTCCACATTTATTTCGTTGTACCAGTAAAGAAACTGAAGCATTATAATACGTAATTGATCACAGTTTTTACAGAAAAGCAAGCAATGACTAGAGTCTTCAGAATGATGTCCGCAACTTCAAGAAGAATTGGGTCGAAGACGTGCTTTGTAAGGATCATAATTAAGAGAGCTGCTGCGGTTGAGGAGTTGGCAATGTATTATAATGGCTTTTCTAGGCCCGTACTCTAAAATGATTTAATATTTGTAGGGATAGTAAGATGAGGTAGAAGAGTTTTGAATTGTTTGATAGAATCAGATGACTTATGATCGATAGCTAGAGTATTCCTGGAGTCTGAAGTACTTGGTATAAAGGATGAATTTGTTAGTTTTAGCATATAGAGTGGATTTTGAAAGTTATTTCTGTTTTTAAGATTGTAACTTGTAGAAGTTGACACAGTAGGTGGTAGTAGAGATTTTAGATATAAAGGAGCATTATTGTGATAAATATTATAAAACATAGATAATTTCCTATTTTTACGTCTGTCCGCCAACGATTGCCAGCCTAGCTCCCTTTAAATAAATTCTTTTTAGTAAATAATGGTAATCCTGTAATTATGCGACCTGCTTCATACTGAATATTTTCAAATTTATTTGAAAGAGTGGTGTTGCAGTTGTCCCAAACTTTGCAGGCGTATTCAAAAAGTGGTGTGATGAAAACAAGATATATATGTTTTTCCGTTCAAGATGTACTTAAGTTTCCGAATTGTTGCGATGTGTTTAGCAGTTTTTGTCAAAATGTCATCAATGTGAGAGTTCCAAGTACCATTACTGTTTATAACTACTCCTAAGTGTTTGTGTTTGTTAACGATAGGAATGAGTGTGCTATCAAAGGGAAATTGTTTGTTAGAAGGTATATTTGTGTTAGAAATCAGGATTATTTCAGTTTTAGTTGGATTGAAGCTCATTAACCATTTTCGAGACCAAAGATTCAGCGGTTTATTACCTGTTTTATATCGTGTAAATGCTAATGCAGTATAGTCAGCAGAAAGTCTAGTATTAGATTAAAAAAGTGGTTGAAATATCGTTAATGTATACAAGAAAGAGAAGAGGGCCTAGAACAGAACCTTGGGGAACCCCGGCTTTAAAACATACTTCTCGCGAGTCAATATTTTAAAGAACAACTGATTGACGTCTGTTTTTAAATAGTTAAATAGACTTTACCCCTTATCTCGTATTTTCCTAATTTGATAAACAAACCTTTATGCCAGACTCGGTCAAACGCTTTAGAAAAGTCACAGAAAACAGGAGCTGTAGATTCGTAATTCTCTAGTGCTAAAAGTATATTATGGTAGAGGTCAATAAGTTGCCGATGCAGCTAAGTAAAGAAATAGGATATAGGTGTCACGTAAGCAAGTTTCCACGAATCAGGAAAAACAGAAGTACGAAACGATTCTTTGAATAGAAGGGTGAGAGGTGTAGCTATTTCACTAGATATCATTTTTAATATTTTGTGACTTATGCCATCGGGACCAGCTGCTTTGTTAATGTCTAGGATATTAATAGTGTCTAAAACCTCTTGTTCTGTTATATCAATATCAGTAAGGGAAGAGTCAGTTGTAAAGTTAAAGTAGGGTGTGACGTCATCGGGGTCATCAAAGTCAGAGACAGACTTAAAGCAGTTATTTAAGATATTGGATTTTATATAGTCATCAGTAGTTAATTGGTTGTTAGAAGGATTTAGTTAGGGAGGTATGTCGGTAGAAGTGTTACCTTTAAAGAGCATGCGCATTAGTTTCCAGTATACTTTCGGATTAGCTGAACTGTTACGGAGGAGACATCAACATTATCATAAAAATATGTTTTAGCATATTTAAGCATATTCTTTACTTTGTTTTTTGCACGTTTTTGCTTCTGAATGTGCGGTTTTAACTCCGATAAAATGCTTCCTTAAATTATAGTCGCTTAATTTCTTTTCTTATATCTCCGTTCATCTATGGTTTGTCATTTTTATTTACAGTTATAAGTTTTTTAGGAATATGTTTCTCTAAAATGGAAGTTTTTCAGTAAATAAAACACATTTCTCGCTTACATCATCAGTGACAGAAAACAAATTTACCCAGTTTACTCGTCTAACTGCAGTTAAAGGGTTAAAATATCCAGAACAGGTACAACGATGGATAAATCGGAGGATATAGTATCACTAATATAAACTGGATCGATAAGAGATTGTGTAGTGTTTGTTACTTTAGTCGGACTTGTTACCAGGTTAGTTAAATTGTAGTGTTGTTTAAGGAAGGTGAGATTTTTGTTATTGTTAATGTTAGTATCCCCTGTCAGTATAACACGAGGTGTATAATCAAAGGCTATATCAAGAGAATGTTTCAGCCGTGTCCAAATTCCAGAGTTAGAGTTTTGCCGTGGGGGCTTATATAATACACATAAAAGCTATTTCTTATTATCAGATTTCGTCGTTTGGTGATTCATTATCAAGCCTGCGTTTTGGAAGTATGTCATTGGTTGAAAAGATCATAACACCACCACTAAAAGCGTTCCTGTCTTTTCTAAAAATAATTGAGAAGTTTGTCAGAAGAGGATCATAATCAGGAATGGAAAAATCGGGACACGTTTCTGTTAGACACAAGATGTCTATATCATCAGTAAAACTCTCAAGAAAATATAGTTTGTTTCTAACACTACGAATGTTTAAATGCATTATTTTCAAAGAATTATCATCAGAAAATGAAAAAGATGTATTATCGAAGTCGTGAGAGGGAGAGAAACTATCTGTAGGCCCCGGATTTCTGTGTATGTCTCCCGACAGAAGTAAAAACAAAATAAAAACTAATACAATGTCATTAATATTTTTCATAATTTATTATAATTTTGATTCGGTTTAACAACTAAATTTAATAAATACCACCCTCTTGCCATCCACCTTTGTCAAAATTTGTAAAGACCTCGTTCTAAAATGTGTGATATCATCCAACCAATAAATTGTCGTGTAGATAGTAACGTGAGTAACGGCATCAGGTAGCTCAACAGGTAAGATATATCTACATTAGTTCTGTTTTACAGGTTTACAGAAGTCCTGTGAAATACTACCAGATCAGCATATACTTCGACATTCAGGTCTAAGATTGAGGACTTTTACAACAGGTATGTTCATTTATGATATTGTGAGAAATGGTAATGATAATATATTGTTTGAGGCATGCGTCGTGCAGTGAGCTCATGTCATTTAGTAAACAAATAAATAGGACAAGGAAACTAAAATGTCTACTTTATTCAGCAGCATAGATTATCCTTTATACGTGTACAAGTACGTACCAGAGCTATTGTCTACAGTCTTACATAGGTACTACATCGTAAAACATACCTGTGATCGAACTCTTTTGTACAAAAGACACACAAGTGAATAACACCTTTTAATAATTTTGATTTGGATACAGGAGAGTCAAACAATGAATTAAACTGCGTCATCCAGTTGTTCCGTCCTAATGTATTACATTTCCAAAGCGAAGACATCTCGCCAACGTTATACCCGGAGCGGCCGCACAGAGGTGATGAGGATAAAAATAGATCGCCCCAATTTGACAAGTGCATGCACTAACGTAAACAACACAAATAAAGGGAATAGAATGTCATTCATTCATAGATACAAAAGTACAAAAACAATTTAACTGTAATTGAAAACATTAATGAAATTTTGGTAGTACCTTGAAAGTCCTACAATTTCACCCCCAGATCATCGATCCGTATCTATTGCAAACCTGAACTTCCTTGTTAACCTCTCCTTGGAATAACCACCTGGTTATAAATTGGGGACCATCAATTCTAGTACGAAAATTTTAATCAAAACTGATATTTCCTTTTGTAAAAATAACCCATTCCATACTCCTTGCAATGTCTCCTTTTATGCTACTGAACGATACACCCAGCAAAACGATAACAAGGCATAAACGTAGGGTTCCCGTACTGAGAGAAAAATGAAAGTTTGCTTTGCCACCTAAAGGAACGTTTGCATGTGTATTACAAGTAAATCAAACACGGGCTAATATACATTTCATTATCTTCGTTACTGTTGTGTCCCAGTTTTGGTCTGCATTTTGTTTTAGGATAAGAACTTTGTAGCTGTGTATCCTATATGTCCACTTACTTACAGTCCTGGCCTCCTCAGATAAAAGTTACGTTTTTTTTTTGGCTGTAAACAGGTTAAGATAAGTGTAGCATCACTAGTAGAGAGTGAATATGTATGAATATGTGTATATATTGTACCTATGCAGGGTTTCTCAATCCTCACGTGGTGAAATGAATTCGATGTTACGAATATTTTACCACTATATAAAAAGTAGGATTGATGTAGTTTTTCCACTTCTTGTGTAATCTAATACCACTATTGATGATTATTGTTTCCTTGTTACACAGAGAGAACCTCCTGGAGTTACTTACCTGGAATCTATATCACTGCTGCGCATAGTACCATGGCAACATCCGCCGAACCCTCCAATCTAAAAAGCCAACTTCATGTCAGAGCTAAAGGTGATGACAAGTGTCCCAGCCACAGGAAAAACCAAGTGGTATTTTTATGTCAGGACTGTAACACCCTGATTTGTGCTACCTGTTCCATTACAACACATAGAAATCATTTTAGCAGTTTCGCCGAAATTTCGGAAACTACTCAACAATACAAAAATAGACTTCAGGAATTTGTTAATGAAAATGAGAACATAAGAATTCCGAATCTTAATGAAGTACAGATATCAACCAAGGAACGTCTTTCAACTTTAAAACTTAAATACAAAAACATTCGTGATAAGATGAGATTAGAACGAGATCAATGTAAAGATCTATTAGATAGAATAACAGAGGATTACCTAACATCATGTGACAAGATGGAGGACGCAGAAACAGGGCTACTTACGTCACTCATCACAGACCTTGATGAGAGGATAGACACTTTGGTAAAACTTTCATCAGAGTGTAAGCAGACCCTCCAGACAGGATCTGATGTACTAGTGTATGACTCGGCAACAGAAGTCCAAGACATGGACATCAACATCCCACGGATACCCGACACAGGTATGATAGAGTTTACTCCAAGTAAGGACAAGCTAAGTCACCTGAAGCAGGCCATGGGGGTGATAGAGACATCTACTGACAATTTCCGGGCAGTATCAGCAAGTGGTGGGCACGATAACCGATGTCCAGTTGTGAAACAAAACCAGTCTACAAAGCTTGACCAAACGTCCACTGAGGCTCTACAGCACTTTCAAAAGTGTAATAATCCAACTATTAAATCCAAGTTCCCATACAGGGATAAGATTTCATCAATATGTCCTACACCTGATGGACGTGCCTGGCTGTGTGATTTTGACAACAGAACAGTAAAGCTCATCAAAAAGAAAGGTAAAGTCCTACAGCAGATACAACACAACAGTAACATCACAGATATCAGTCTGGACCCCACCACAGGTCGTCTGTGGTTCTGTTGTAGAGTGGAGAGGACTATCTATGAAGTATCTACATCATCTACACCAGTCCGAAGATTTACTACAGAGTATGATCCATGCCGACTGTGTGTGACCAGGGAGGGACTAGTAGTGGTGGGATCACGTGGTAACCTGGGTTACAAGGTGACGATGTACACCGCAAATGGCCAGGTGTTACACACAGCCAATGTAGAGGAGTCAGGAACGGGTGTGGTACAATCCATTACACAGTGTCCTGTTACAGGTAACATAGCTGTAGTGAGTCGTAAACTAATCAGTGGAGACCATCGTGATCCAGACAACTACAGGCGTCACGTCATTGTGTATAACCCAACACTCCAGCCTCTGGTCCACTACCGTGGGGAGGGGATACAGACACTGGAGACGGTCACACCTGAAAAGTTTGGTCCGATCACAGTGGTATACGACAGTTAGGGTAATATTGTTATTGCTGACTGGAACAGGAAAACAATAGAACTAATAACTGGAGATGGGAAGTACATAAAAACACTCCACACAAACAAAGGACAACAAGGAGTAGTAGGTATACAGAGGGATGATGTGTTGTGGTCACGCGTAGTGTTAGATACTGGAGAGTGGGGACTCAAACTCCTCAAGTATTATGGTGACTAAAGGGAGTAAATCTTTGGTGATATGACGGGAGATATAAAACAACAGAAAAAGTATAAATTGTACTTGACATTATTATGGTTCGTTAGAGACATCAAGTAGAAATTGTTAGTACTGGGGACATGTTTTTATTTGTCAAAAATTCTTCATTTCATATGAAAGAAAGATTTTGTGGTTAGATTTTAAATTAGAGATATACATTTAACTTTTTCAGATCATAAAATAAAATACATCTAATTGTCATTTGAGTGTCGTCTTCATTTTTCTTATCAAACTAACTTTGATAAAACATGAAACTACATTTTACACATAACTATTATACAGAGATCACCACAAGAGTTTTTTTCACTAAACTGTGAGTCATTTGATGCTTTTCACTAGAATCATAAAAAGGATTGTCTTCTTGTCACATTATCAGCATTTTATCCATTACGTCTAATATTTTCGCATACATGTACGCTAAAGCGTTTTCCATTGGAGATACTAGTCAGAAATCAATTGGTAATATGTACTATGACCTTAATTTATGTAATGAATTAAAACACACCAAGAAAATACCCACATGACAACGTAATCATAATACAAACTCAAATTCCATAGAACTAGCGACAAAATATGAACAAATGAAAGATTTACATGGAGTTTCATGAAAAAAGGACAGTAAGACCAGATGTTCCAGAAGAGTAAGCGTCTTCTGCATCATCTATGACACCCGCCATGTAAATCTCGGTCAATTCAAGTAAGTAAAGTCACGTTCCCAAATAAGAACAAGGTACACAACAACGGAATCAACAGACAAACTGAAGAGCATCAGACAAGTCCAGCATCATATCATACGAAGAAATAGAGAAAAACATGAAGAAATGAGATCATTCTGGCGACCATTAAACTTCCCATAATTTTCTTCATCCTGAATCTATTCAATCCCTGTGTTATGAGTTGGCTGTCAGTTGATGATGCATTGCAAAGAAATGGTGATAAGGTGAAGAGACTAATAAAAATATCGAATCAACTGGGACATATAAATACCATAGGTTAGAGGTGCAGGGATATTTTTATCCACAATTAAAAATTTACAATGGGGAAATTGAAATCATCAGATTTATGATACAGATTGGTTGAAAGCTGCCCATGTCGGTTCCGTTGTAGGAAAAGATCGCGATAAGCAGCTGATGTAGAAAAATCTGTCGAGTCTTTGATTTCCAGTTCTTGTGGATATATACGATGGACGTGGTCAATAAATTTCTTCTTATTTAAAGACAAGACGTCATCAATTTATCTGAAGGTGAAATTGAACGACTTTGTCTTTGTGATCTGCTTTGATAACCTTTCCAATAAAGTCAGCTTCGTTTGAAAAAAAAAAAAAAAAACAATCCATCAAACAGAGGGCCGCCGTTAATTTCCATAGGTATACCAATATTCTGCTGAAAGATCTCACCAGCAACCGCAACGAAAGTGTTGTCAACCAGAAACTCGATAATATGTATGATTTCGTCGATTTGGGCCTGTTGGTTTTTTATTTTACAAAATACGCTTCAGCTTAGTTCACAACCATATACAATGTATTTATAGCGCTCTTCGCCTTTCAAGGAGAAGAAAGCTCGTATAACAAGAGAACGAAGACGTACCTTTAGTTTAGAATGGGGTATGGTGGTATACAGGGTGGAAAAAAAAAGAATTTTTTAAAAGAGGGTGTTGATGATTGGTCAAAAGTTCTTTGGAGTTCTTCAACATTCACACACTATTAATAACACTTCCTGAGTATAGAGTTTCATGATTAGACTGTAAACTAGGTTTAGTAGTACTTAGAAAGGGAATTAGTAGTTTACACAAAGACTTGGTTCAACAGCTAGACGAGTCGTCAATAAAACGTTGTTTATATGGATTCTTGTGATGTTTAGGGATGTGATATGAACGGGGGAGGTCCGTATTATCTAAATGACCCTTGATTTTTTTCTAGAAATTTTCAAGATGATAACTGTTGCAGCCATCTTGAATGTGGATGAAGTACGAATTGCTGTAAGAAGTATATGTGGAGCAAAGTGGGCCGTCTATATAGGCTGCCTTATTTACTATTTAGAATACTGTTTCTCGAGCATCATCAACTGAGGTAGTGAGTGATATCATCGCAGATGTAATTTGTGTTTGTGTTGTATTTGTCAATATTGTTGATAATAGATGCTAAACTAAACATACATCCAGGAATCATCCAGGATTCTGGTAGACGACCAATTTTTTGCATATTTCCATAACCGTGCCCGATTTACGCCCTCCCTCAAAATCAAGCAATGAAAGAAAAGGGAAAAACGAATAGTGATGAAGTTACAAACTATTCATAGCTCTAAATTATAAATCTATTTCGAATAAACTTATTATAAACTCTGAAGATATCCTTTCAGGAATCCTTGTAAAATGTTTAAGGTGATCGGTTGGAAAGATTGCACAAAATGAAAGAAATAGAAATAATGAAAAAACAAAAATAATGAAAGATAAAAAAAAAACCGAATAATTGATTAAGCCAGAGCCCTTGGTGTGATTGGTTCCCTGAGGACTACAGGAGAAACTGATACAGTCCAGCACTCAGGCTCTATGGTAGAATAGGTGTAATCTATCCATGCATGACTTCACTAACATGATTTGTGATTGATTGCGTTCCTCCGAAAGTTTAATTTTAATTTTCCTTTTGGGGTGCAAATATGAAAGGAGAATACATCAAATGAAGTATGTTTGATAACGTGATAAAACGTTTTAAAGAGGAAGTTTTTAAAAGCATTAAGGATAAGTCATCCAATACGTCCTGGTTTTCAGACCCTCGTATATTGTGATTATTTATTTTTATAATTTATTACAATTATGATTCTGTCTTACACCTAAACGTGATATATACCATCCTCATGTCATCCACCGTTGTCAAAATTGTTTAAGACCTTGTTCTAAAATGTGTGATATCATCCAACCAATAAATTGTCGTGAAGATAGTAACGTGAGTGGCGTTATCAGGTAGCTCAACAGGTAAGATATATGTACATTAGTTCTGTTTTACAGGTTTACAGAAGTCCTGCGAAATACTACCAGATCAGCATATACTTCGACATTCAGGTCTAAGATTTAGGACTTTTACAACAGGTATGTTCATTTATGATATTGTGAGAAATGGTAATGATAATATATTGTGTGAGGCATGCGTCGGTCATTTAGTAAACAAATAAACAGGACGAGGAAAGTTAACTGTCTACTGTATTCAGCAGTATAGATGACCATTAACAAGTGTACAAGTATGCACAAGAACAATGTCTATAGTGTTACATAGGTACTACATTGTGAAGACTTTGTAGAACTCACTAATGACCTCTTGATTCTCATACTTTATATAACACACCATACAAGGCATTGCATTCCACAAGCGAAGACACTTCGCCAACATTATACCCGGACCGGCTGCACAGAGATAATGAGGCTAAAATTAGATCGCTATATCTTAACAAGTACATGCACTAAAATAAACAACACAAATATAAGAAATATAAAGTCACTCATTCATAGATACAAAAGTATAATCCTAATTAACCTGTTATTGAAAACATTAATGAAATTTTGGTAGTACAATCGAAGTATTACAACAACCGATCCGTACCTATTGCAAACCTTAACCTCCTGGTTAAACTTTGCTTAAAATATACACATAGTCGTGAATTGGAGACCATCAATTTTAGTACAAAAATTTTATTCAAAAATGAGGGTTCCCCATACTCAGGGAAAATGCAAGAACGTTTGCATGGGTATTACCGGTATATCATACACGGGCTAATATACATTTCATTATCTTCGTTACCGTTGTGTTCCAGTTTTGCTCTGTATTTTGTAGGATAAGAACTTTGTAGATGTTTACCCTATATTACTGTGTACCTCGTAAGACCAGGTGTTTCATGGTGGGGTAAATACTTTGTAGTTTGAATACACTGCATGGTTGTGGATTCCCTGGGTCCTGATACCTGTTCGTATTTTGTAGGAGAGAAGATCTCCGTAGGTTGGGTAACTTAAATATCTTTTAACTTCCGGTATTGGAGTGTCGTATGTAGCGAAAGTTGTCTCCCGTAACTATTGTCCCTGTGTATGTGCCTGAAACACTTAGATCCCAGTATTTGCCTGTATTTTGTAGGATGAGTAGAAATCTGTTAATGTGGTATTCTACAAATGCACTTTTCAGATAAAGTTCATTTTTTGGTAAACAGGTTAACACAATTATAGCATCACTAATAGAGAGTGAATATGAATGAATATATGTGTATATTTTACCTATGCAGTGTTATATATTTTTCATTCCTCACTTGGTGAAATGAATTCGATGTTACGAATATTTCACCAATATATAAAAAGTAGGATTGATGTAGTTTTTCCACTTCTTGTGTAATCTAATACCACTATTGATGATTATTGTTTCCTTGTTACACAGAGAGAACCTCCTGGAGTTACTTACCTGGAATCTAAATCACTGCTAGTACCATAGTACCATGGCAACATCCGCCAAACTCTCCTATCGAAAAGGTCAACTTCATGTCAGAGCTAAAGGTGATGACAAGTGTCCCAGCCACAGGAAAAACCAAGTGGTATTTTTATGTCAGGACTGTAACACCCTGATTTGTACTACCTGTTCTATTACAACACATAGAAATCATTTTAGTAGTTTCATCGAAATTTCAAAAGCTTCTCAACAATGCAAAAATAGACTTAAGGAATTTGTTAACGGAAATGAGAACAAAAGAATTCCGAAAATTAATATAGAAAAGAAATCAGCCGAGGAACGATTTTCAGCTTTAAACTATAAATACAAAAACATTCGTGATAAGATGAAATTAGAACGAGATCAATGTAAAGATCTATTAGATAAAATAACAGAGGATTACCTAACATTATGTGACAAGATGGAGGACGCAGAAACAGAGTTACTTGCGTTACACATCATCGACCTTGACGAGAAGCTAGCCACTTTGGTAAAACTTTCA